CGATTCAGTCGCTAACCCGTCCTTTTTATTTATGTTTCAGGTGAGTACCGTAAAAGGCTAGTCACCAGTGCAGCGTCTCGTAAGTACAATAATAATAATGATACGAACAACAAAACCAATGTAACCCTTGATAAGAACGAGTTTTTCGTGGTGGCTGAACTTGTCGGACGCCCGCGACGACCTTCGGAGCCCATTACTTCCTGTTTACACGCCATGGCCACTGTTTACGCGCCTCGGCGATCGGCATAAATCACCAATTTATCGACTTATATTGTACACTCACACATTTAATGACACCTGTCGCGCGCTGTCCTCTCGAAGGTCGGCATAATCGCTGCGAAGGAATCGACGTTGTACCGATATATTATATACATCGAACGGTCCGCAGGCAGTGTTTTCCTGCCTCGCGTCGACCAACCAATTGGACTTGTGCAGCGCGAGCATGATACGTGTTTCCTAGCCGATAGTGTGTATAATACGAACAAAAAAAGCCTCTGTTGTGATTCATCCACGAGAATCATCCGCGTCTTTTGCATGCGAGAAGCGTCAGCCCGAGCTCTAACGTCTGTAAACAACTTTGCTTGTAATTTATAACTTTTGGAATGAAATTTGTCGAAGCGCACCAACTAAACGCGTTGCGCACGTTCGGTTTTTGCTGGATTGACGGCATTATAAACCATTGACTGATTACCATGCATTAGCCGCTATATGAGTCATTGGTTCAGTTTTTTTGCCTGCCTCGAGAGTCTAGCCAAGCAGTGATTTCCACTTCTATTCATGCCAATGACCCGCTCTGAGAATGGAAACTTTGCTGCATGCCTGACAAAGGTGCTTGTGATTTGTGACCATTCACTTGATCGAACGGCCCTCCATCAAAACATTAAATTTGCTCTAATAAACGATTATTATAAACGATGTAAATATTGAAAATCAATCACCACTTGTGAACACGTAAAGTATTTATACAGGCCGAATGATATAATAATTTTTCGGTAAATTGCTTGGGAAGATCGATTTACCTCGTTTCCAGAAATAAAACCTAAAAAACTAAAAATATCCGAGTTACTCGAGTGAATAAAATTTAATAGATAGCTTGCATCTTTCGATAAAAATAAAACGCACTTGTTTTTGTATTTATTCCTATGTTTAACGTAATTTGTCATTTTTCGATTTGCATATCCTAAAATACACAACCTATTCTGAAAAATTTCTGGACGCACAAAATAAAACTCGAAAACTGTGGTGTTAACAGATTATGCAAACCACTTTTCTGATATTGTTCTGTTTTTATTTGAATGAAAACAAAATTTGTTCTGAAAAGTTCCATCTCAACCTAAATCTACACTCTTATGTGTGTTTTTTATTAATGTTGTTTTATTCAGATGGTCTTGATGATGTTTAAATGAGATTAAATAGTGATTAAAACTCTTCTTTACAAGCGTAGAAGCTCGTTATATTTATTTTTTGTATTACGCTTTAACGACTAATGGGCTCTAATCGAGGAGAAAAGTTATCGTTCTTGTAATTTAGCCAGAATAAAATTGCACACTCAAATATTACTGCGAGCGCATACATCGAATACTTATGATTAAATTTACGTTTTTATTGTCACACGATTTGAACACTCGAATTCAGTCATCACTTTGCCCGTTTGTGCTTTTTAAATTTTCGCGGCTCTTGTTTGAACGGGCGTTACCTAAAATTTGACTGCGATAATTCAATAAAGTTCTTGCGAGGATGGATTTATCACTATTATCGTTTGTTTCGTACATACTAATTGGGCTATAAAGCATAAATATCGTCGATGCCAAAATTCGAGAAACGTCTCGATCTTTTGTGCGGAGTTGCATGTTTTATCTTTGATTTGTTTTCATTGAACTTCCTCGTGGCTCAGCAAGAGTTGTAAAAAAGCCAATTTTTCACAATGTTTACAAAGCATACCACGCACGCATAAGGAAGTTCGTCAGATTATACGTTTACTTTTCAGGCAACTAAATAACTAATTGAATGATCGCCTAGATCCGTTGAAAAAAAGGACTGCACTAAGCTTCTTGGGTAAACCTTGGCTCGGTATGCCGATGATACAAGCTCGTTTACGTTACGTTTATGCCGTTATCACTTATCAAATGTTTTTTCAAGCCTCGACATTCCGAAGCAATTGCATATTTCATTGCACAAGATGAATAAATTTAGCTAAATTGTACCTTCGTACGCGCGGGTATTAAAAAAAATTTGAGCACTAATTTTACGAGTGCCTCTCTGGGGTGACACGTGCGAATGTTGCACTATGTCTAGCGAGAAAACGACAAATTCGAGGATTATTTCAGCACCTTTGGCAACGATAAACATCTCACAGCTGCAAAATGCGCAGAAAAAATGTAATTCAAATATTAATGTATAAATCTTATGCAACTGTATTACATGGTAGATCTTAGAGATACACGCAATACCTTGCGAAATTCGTCAAATGGTCACGCGAATTATTTGGAAAAATTATGCAAATCATATCTAATGCTTCGCATTACAAGAACGAGCCAACGACATCTTGAGCATTTCCTACAATCAATTTTTTCTTTATTTGTTTCGTGCGTACGATACACAATTTGAGCAATTTTTCCTCGTCCAAGTGCAGCATAATGTGCAAATATAAATCAGCGTCTAACTCAAACGTATTCGATGCCTCAATTTTTTGTTTCGTATATACGCTGAAATTTATACGTCATAAAAACAAATCTGCACATTTCGTTGTATACCGATTCACGCATGTTTACGTATAAATATAACAGCTCATTCTCAGAAAAATACAGAAAAAGCCGAAAGCTGCACAGAAGTTGATTATTTTGGCGGATTTCCAAATTAAGTTTTGCGCTGACTTTAATTTGTATCCTAGAAGATTGCGTTTTTTCAATAGCGCGCAATTAAACGATTTAAAAATTTGTCCTCCGTAATTGTCTTACCCGTTGACAATTCACATTAGATTAATCGCTATTGAATTTGTCATTTTGATTTAATCTGTTATAGCATCGAGTAACATTTTTTTACCTTGAGTGCGCATTGAAATGTATCAATTAAAATCTGTCCCATATACGCACATTCATCAAGTTCAAAGCTTTCGAGACGAGCTTTTTATCGCATGCAATCGAGATTAGGCGTTGATTTCATTTTTTCAATGGCCTTGAGCCGGATCCATTTTCCTCATAGTTATTCGTCGTAGAATATTCGAGTTTTTTCATTTTGCAGGATTAATTTTGGCTGCAAAATTTTTTTAACTTTTCGAAGATGGTAAATTAATTTTTGAAATAAACTACCAAGAAATTCAATTTGACAAAACACTTCAATACTTGGAGTGAAAAACGGTAATCAAATATTACTCTTGAAGTTGCAGTCGCACAAATATAAGTCTTATAAGATATTCCTGACCGGACCTGTTAAGGAATCATTTCAGAGTCAATTGCTCGACATAAAGCCGTTAATATTTTTCGTTATATAATACCCATGAATCTATCACGAGGTCAGGGTCACAGCTCACGGAGTTTGCGAGACACATTTGCTCAACGTTTTATTTATTTAATTAATACCGAATGCTATGACTTTGATGGTATCGACAAATACGCGCTGCGTTCGCGTGTCGATACAGAAAACAATACCAACGCCTCATAATTGATAGAGCTTACAATTTAATTCATTGTGGCTCCTTTTTTACCACAAATGCATACCTAAAACTTATTCATCATTGAACTGAAAAATATTTGATTACAAAGTTTTCAATGGTATGGAAATAACATTGTTGGTTTTTTAAATTACGATCAAATTTGTTAAGTCTTTGAATTTAATTTCTTGACACTCTGATGATATTCGGGAAAAAGTTGCAAATCCCACGCACAATATGTTACAAATAGATTATTGAAACAAATTTAAAAACAAACGAGGACTCGTAGATAAATAATTTAAAGAATGTTGTAAAAATTCTTGTCTAAAGCACGTCTCACATCAAAAAGATAATACAATGTTTTTATCGTGTATACGCCGTTATCGCCGGTTGTTCTTGTGCGTGAATGCATCGCATCGTAGGGGGTGCAAACAATAATAATGAAATTTATTGACAGTTTTCATTATCTATTCGACGATTCGCTATCGAGCTGTTACTTTTGTCGCTAGTGCAGGTAAATACGTTTTATTTTTGCGCATTCTAATGAATTTTTACGACAATGAAGATCAGCGAAGCGTTAGAGTTACATCACATCGAAGGTAAATGAAATGTAAAGCACGACGCGCGGCATCACTTTTGCTGGTAATCACTTTGTCCAACAGCTGATCAATCAAAGCATGGAAGTTTGCGCGATTAAGTTGTGTTGGTCTATCGGATTGAAGCGGATCGAAGTGGATACGATATTTATTTCTTCAATTTTTACTCAATCAAGAGAAATGTTAACATTAGATAGTTTAGTCAAACAGACGTGGATATTGCGCGCAAAACGAATTCAGTGAGCGGCGAAATTTCGTGGAAACGCGTTGGCCGCGGCTCGCATTTAAAACTTTATCGCCGCAGCTACTGCACGAGCTGTCTCGCGTTCATACGGAAGGAGTCAATCGGAGCTGAAAATCAAGCCGTCGCGAGATAAGTGCCGCGGCGCAGCACAATGCGCGGCTCCACACGAATTTCCGCGCGCTTAATTAATCGCGAGCGGATCAAAAAAAAAGATGATAATTCTCGTTACGTCTCGTTCTCGCACTTGTTACATCGATGCACTGCATATATGCAGCTTGGCTAATTAGCCATTGTAATTCTCTCCCCACCGAGAGGGCATCTCATCTAAGAAGAAGACGCGCATCGCGAGCAGCGTATATTATTACATATACAAATGCTGTATTGGCGCGCATATACCCCGGCTTCGATCAGCTGACGATAATGATCTTATCGTATATCTTACGCTCGCCAAGTCAGATAAGTCCATAAAAGTCGGCTACGTTATTAGCTACGACTTCAGTGTTGATAGCGCTAGACACTCGAGCGCCCGTTTTCTCGCAGTTCCCGCGTCGTTTCAGCGCGCGCGCGTGCGTATACAGAGTAGTAGGCAATTTTCGTAATTCGCTGATTGAAAAATCGCGGCAATCGTTTCAGCGTTGTTTTCCTATGACAAGCAGCAGATCGTCTGTGCTCAGTGCCTCTAAAATGATGACAAAAATTATGCATTTCGCGACGATACAAGTTTGGTGAAATAGTTCGACGATACTCGCGCGCAAGTTCCTCGAATATTGCAAAGAGAAAAATACATCGCTCGACGCGAGTCTGTGTGTTGTGAGTGAAATGTGTGCGTGCGTGTATGTAAATTTGCGTGTGTTTATACAACGAGAAGGCCGTGTGTGTTGAGAATTATCATTAGTATTATCGCACCAAAGCGAGTGCCTCGAGACATAACATCCACAGGAATTAGCAAATCAACGAGGCTCGCCGGACAAATTTGATTAAATGTTTAAATTCGTGACGTTGGACTATCACGCGCACGACACCATACTCTACGATCATGCGAATCTCTCCCCATGCAGACTATAATCATGAATTATAACTCACGACGAAAGAATAACAAATCTGATTTATAACGAAATTACATGTATGTTGATCAAACGTATAATGATACCAAGGACGATAAACTTAAAAGATTGTCAAGATTTCGAGCATAGGACACATCAAGCGCACGCATCTATTTATTATTTTTATTTATAAAAACAATAAATAAATGTGCCTCCTTTTTACTACGTATGCAGTAGTAGCTGATCAGACGATTATACACAGGGAGCAATTAGCAAAGGCACATGTCGGACTAGCAAACAATTGTATCACTGCTTTGTTTGATTACATCTCTATTACGCGCAGTACTTATTAATTGTCTGTGTAAACAATGAAAGTTTTTTATTGATGAGAGTAAAGAGGAATCTACGTGCCTGACAGTCGTATCTATCGAGTTTGCAACTTCTTTCTTTGCATTGCTATTTATTGGGATTTTTCAAAGATGCATCATCATCGCAATTACTTTTTGAACAAGAATGGCACCGGTGGGTATTTCGCGTGGTGAATTTCAATTTTCGACATCTCAACGCCCAAAAATTTGTAATTTTCCATTGAAAACTCCTACTTTAACTTAACATTTTCAATGCATTAATCCCGAGAATATCAGACAATAGGAATCGCGCGAATTAACGACTCGTTTATTCCTTCCTTAATCTGTCAAGTATTGCTTTACTTTAAAATTGAATTGTGTGACATTGAAGCCGTTGTTATCAAACAAAGACCCTGTCACAAGCATAAAACATTTTTCCATTTACATTTAATGTATTTTTAAGTGCATACATTTGATTATATTTTTAAATTTCATAACTAAAATACTTTTCTGGGATAACACTAATGATTATATATATTTTCTAGTCATATCAACCGCAGCCGAGGATGGCATCACAGGAATTCAATCGTCAGAAAACGATACGAGTGAGTTTCTTGAATTATTATCAAAGAGTTTGAAATTTTTCTTTTTTTCTTTTATATGCGTTTCTTTGAAGTAAGACATTTTCTTATTAATCACTTTCATAGAGGAATAGAAAAATTATTGTTTTATTCCGAATCAATTAATTCTGTAAGACTACCATAAGCGTTAAAAATTAATCACAATTTAATTTTACGATATTATCAACTGTTGACAAGGCAGATTTCTTGAGAGCATTTTTACTTTTACCGACCGTCGTTTATCAAGCACCAGTCGATAAAGTAGAAAAAATACGCACCTGTCTTTACCTGTACGCGATATTGACATCTGATTTGACGTTTGCTTGTTTTCTCCCAGATGTCTCGTTAAAGACTCGGGTAACTAGAATAGATTAGACAATTATCGATTTAATATATTTACGTTCTTGAATATTGCAAGATTACTTTGTTATTAACTCAATGTTCCAGAAAAAATTGTATTGAGTTGCTGTGAAAAATAAATTTCTGGAAAGTTTCGTTGCAAAATATCACGTGATATCGTTGTTCGTCATGATTTTTTTCACGTGTTTGGAGCGATGCAGTGTCAAGAAACCCGCCTCGTCGTATAAATGCAACGATAATATTATAATCTCTTTACAAACACACATGTGACACATTTTAATCGAGCATTATAATCGCCGCATAAAATGTATACGGCAAAATTAATAGTCCAAGACAATTAGATTGGTCAGGCATTATAATGGTTAATTCTTTTTTGTTTTCACTACGTACATTTGGAATCGATGCTATTCATCATCGATCGTTGATTGTTTGCGTCAGACGCTCAATTGATTCAATCAATGAGTTAGTAAATTACCGCGACGCATTGACCACGCAACAGTTGCAATATTTACATCGCAACAACTATTCATCGACGCATCGCGACGATGCTTTTGCTTCTTTTCCGCTTCGAAAACTATGAGGCATTCGCGAGATCGATAAGCTTGCATTTCCGCTGCGCGAGTTATAGGGTGATGAGGCCAGCTCCGACTTCGGGCGCACTGCACACACTCACGCGGCTAATCAGCAGCACGACTCAGTTCTCTCGTTAGCCTTTGAAGAAAACTCGCGTGCAAAAAAGAAACGTAAAAAAGTGACGTCAGCCACATAGCAGGAAGCCGCGTCGGGGACAAAAGCTCTCTCCTTGCATATCCGTGCATCGGGCGCTATATAACCAATTTTCTCTTTGGATTATTTTTAACGAAGCGGCCCGAGAGCTTTCCTAAAGCCGCTGAAAAACACGTTAACGGCTCATTTTCCTCCTGCACGTGTTCGCAACGATCAAGAGAAAAGCTTTTGTCGAGCTTGTGTATCCTTGAGATAAGAATAGGAATTACTTTTTCCGAGTAAAAAGATTTCTCTCTTTTTTTTTGTGCACTCGTCGTCGTCGTCGTCGTCGTCGATTTTTTTTCCTCCAATCGCTAACACGAATAAAAAATGAGAGAAAAAGGATTTTTAAACGCGCGAACACACACACATGTAACACCTTTGCTATTTTTAGATTTTACGTCGTACTGTATTTATACGCAACGACCTGAATATCTTGTCTGATTTACAATGAACTTTATTGTGGCAAGCGTGTACACACGAGCTAACCATGCAGCTGCAATACCCGAGCTGGTCTTATAAAGGTTCGCGTGCGCAAGAGAAAGAGAGCGAGAGCGAGAGAGACGCAATGCTGCAAACGAAGGCCTCGACTCGCTTTCGAAGAGAGCCCCGCAACAAGTTGCCGTCTCGAAAAACCTTCTTTTCTCAGCTGAAAGTTTCGCGTGCGAGAAAAGTCATTTTCCGACGCCGTCAAAATTTCGCTCCATTCCAAGGGCTGCTGCACTCACGAGCTTGCGTAAGCCTGTCCACTATACCACTATGTACGCTGCCTTCGTTCGAAGGATAGGATACACGATGACGTCCCGCACAAGGTACTATATGTTTACGTAATATCGCAACAGTCGGCGGTTTTCCATTTTTCTCCGCGTCCTTATCCCGTTGGAAGTTACGCGCGCCGGTGGAGCGCGAGTCGCGTCGGATGTGCAGCCATAACGCGTCGAGGTTGATATCGCCGAGGCCTTAGCGTGTTTATCGCTCGTTAAAATTCATACCTCGGGCTCCTTTCGGACTCGAGCACGTAATTTCTCCGTCGACACACTGCAGTCCAGCATTTCGTCTCATTAAATCGAGCAAAGTTTAATTCGATGCTAAAAAATTCGCGACTAGTTATTTTCGCCGTCGAGTGTCGGTGCACGCTACGTACATGTACTTACGTGCTACATGCTGCAGCATTTGTAGCACCGCTTAATGTGTATACAATTTATCGAGCCGATCGAGCGGCGCCGCGCCACCCTAACCTTGTCAAGGGTTACGGTCACGGAATTTTCACGAATTAAATTTCGATCGGCTCGCGCAACGTAGTATACTCGCAATGCGAGAGTATATATGTATGCCTGCCACTGTATTATACGTAAAAACGTAATAGCCTCCGAGTTAGCGAGTATGTGTGTGTGTGTGTTGGCTATCCTTCGCTTGACATTGCCCGCGCGCTCGCTCACAGACACTCGCAGACACGCCGCCGATCCTGCGCCACATATACATACGAATCGCAAGGCTTATTTCCCTTGGACGTCGCGATCTGCACGCGCGTGTCTGACAATTGCCGCGATCCGATTCAAGTACACACGGCACGGGGACGAGCGATCGGATAAGCGCGAAAAACGTCAGCCGCTGCCATTTAGATTGGCGAATTATTAAAGCGATTAGTATACGATCGTAGGCGCGCATTGCGCAATTTATTTACACTGAGAGATCGTTTAGGATTGATGGCCGCCGCTTCTGCTCTCGTCATTTGTTTTCGCAAATAAATCATACCACTCGCAGTTCTCCATCATCCGTGCGTGTGCGAGCGAGCTCTCGATCGCGATGCTGCGTTTATAACAGGCTGCTTTTGCGTCCGAGAAATTCGAGAAATGGAGGATAGATCGTCCGCGGTTTATATTATATAAAATGACGCGCGAGCAAAGCGTTACCTAAGCACAATGAATCTATCTCTATCCATCTATCGTGTGAAAAAGACCAAGAAAAAACGTGATTCTAACAAATTGATTGGCAAATAATATATATATACGACGAACGCCCGCGACAATTAGCCGCGACGATCGACGAGATACGTATCTATAATATGTCGCGGGCGAGAAACGCGATCCGAGCTCTACACAGGCCGCGCAGCATCGATCTCGACTATTTCTAAAAAAAAAAAAAAGAAAAAGAAAACGAAACCAAATTGAAGGGAAAACGAGAGAAAAAAACGACTGCGGCCGAACGTCGCATAGACGTTATGCGTGCAGCTATATATAATAATAAAAATATTGAAAAGTTGGATTTTCCTCGTGGGTATTAATAATCGCAACGAGTCACGTTGTGCGTATCGGACGCGACTCAATGATCCGATGCTGCGTATCGGTATGCGTGTGGCTACGTCTATCATCGTAGTATATGCGTATCATGTACATGTGCAACGCAGAGGCCCCTGCATATAATGCCGCACATGTAACGAACGGCCGCCTATCCTTATGTGCTCAAGCGCCAACCTCAATTTGCAATGGCATTAAAGTAATAACTGAAGCGCCGTTGAGCGTGACAAGTAGAATCATAAGTAAGGTTTTTTCTCACAAATGATAACTTTACATGATCGAACGAGATTATCATTTCACTTCTCATACTACATATTGAAATAATAGTTCCCATAAATGTTAAAAATTACATACTGCGAATTCATTTGAATTAAAGTTTGAAATAGAAACATTTCATTTTTCGTATAAATAATTGTCAGAATACATTTGATTTCATTACTATCATAGCTGATTAAGTAATTTTTCAATAGTAGATTGAAAAGACTCCTGACCCCTTTTTGCATTGTTCATATTTTTCTCAGATTTTTTCCACGTCATTTTCATTAAAAAAACACTAATTAAAGTTCAATTGAGTCACGGGACCTCAAAATGCTCGTTACACAGATGCCGCACATTTATATAGAGGCGAGCAAGTTAGTTGCATGTTATGTGCATACGGATAATAGGACACCTTCGTCGATTTAATAAACCTGCGCGCATGCAAATATCGCGTCTGTAAGCGTCGACGCTGCAACGAAAAAGAAGCAAAGAGGACTCGAGTCGCGTCAGAGTAAGGGGCGCGCACATGCCTCGCCACGCGAGATAGATCGCGACGAGCTGGCGCAGCTGATGCAACATCGCGGCCGCCTGCATCTGCAATGTATCGGCTTGAGTCCGAGTAGAGTCTGCAGCTGCAGCTGAGATCCGAGAACGAGACCTTTGGCTGGATAATAGTCACGAGGTCCTTGAAAAACGATGCCGCCCAGCTTCTCTCGTTGTCGTTCCTTACCTCGGACGGATTTCGTTGCAGACGCTGACGGCCGTTGATGTCGAGTAGCGACAGACGCAAAAAAAATGAGCTAAAGATGTTCGTTATCTAGCTAGATGCAGTTGCATCATTCGGCGCTCGACATAATGTTGCGATTTGACATTTTATTGCCATCCGGAGCTCACGCGATCCAACATTAAAGCGCGAAAAATTCTCTCAGTTGCGTGCAAAGATGCCAGCGAGACGGAAAATGCTTGCCCCTCGCGCTCCGGCGCCCCAACGATATATAGGTAATGGTAGCATTTTTATCGAGAACAAGACGTCGAGCTCTCTGTGGGGCCAAGGTAAACGTCGCGTTTCTTTCTCTATTTCACAGCTCTGTTGTGACTTTTTTTCTCCCCTTGCTGCACCAGATGTATTAAATATAGCCCGCGTGCGATAGCCGAAATTATTTTCGCCCGGCTGCACGTGCGGCACGAATCGAGGTGGGCGCAGGGCGATCGAATAGGCTCCTGAATTATGGACGGGTACACCTATATCGTAAGCTCGACGCAAGCTTCGCGTGTCCCGTCTATGTAAATCTAATCTGTCGGTTTACGTACGGTATACACAAACACACATTTAACGTACATGTAGACTCACACGTGTGCGGGCTTGTGTGACTTGGCTTCGGCTTTGACGTCAGACTTTACGAGCCAATGTGTTTGTGCTCACGTTTAAGTCGGTCATATACTTGCGGAGCTGCAGAAAGAGAGAGAGAGAGAACGAGAGGCCCGCACCCTTATTGAGGCGCGCAAAAGTCGACAGAGAAAGACTAGCTCGAACCGACCCACATTTTCAAACTATAACTTCGGGTGAATGTTAATCCTAAGACCTTATTTTCAACTGCCGCAGTTATATATGTTACGTATGTGACGCGGCAGCCCTTTACAAGTGCGATACTCGAGGTGTAACGAAATTTTCTCGCTCGCTTTGCGTCAAGTAGCAGAGTGCAAATGCGTCCTAAGCGCTACTTTAGCTCGAAAGACATTGGATATTGCGCTCGTCTTTAAGATAAATGGCCAAGCGACAATAGATGGATGCGATTCGCGGAAAATACTCGGCTCGCTCGTTCGCGCGCAATATAAATCGATAAAATACAAGAAGCTGTAATTTAATATAACGTGTGTGTGTGTATATTATTTTACGTAGTGCTGTATCGGAGCTTCGCCTATGATGATGATGATGATGATGCACGTGCACTCGCGAGTCCATGTGCCTCTGTGCTCGTGCGGGGCTTGGCGTTACGGGGCTTTATTTATAGAAATAATGATTCCTTACTTATACGGTACTTACTCTAAAATAGGGCCTCGAGCGATCGATTTTGCGCCATCGAAATATCCAAAGTAACTCCCACTCGCTTTAACTCGATTTACGCAATTACTACAATCGTAATCGAGAATAAAAAAAATTTAATTTCTTCATTTTCTGCTTTCAGATTCTCTGCAATCTCTGTCACATCTGGGTAAGTTTTATCGGTACTCGCACACAAGCGTACACGCATCTAGCCGCGCTCGAGCTTTTATGCATATAACATTAAATGGCCCACTTATTCGTTTTCTGCCGCTGCTCGAATTAGCGGAATTTCATTGACCGTAATATGTTAAAATGAAAAAAAAGAGCCAGCGAGTGCGAGAAAGAAAAACAGGAAAAATATATAATGCATGCATCGACCTAATTGACATTTAAGGCCGTCTGCTATGCGTACTGCAACCCTCGAGACACGCACACACATTAGACAGTTAAAAGAGATCATTCCGCTGCAGCTGCGATCGATCGCCGCGATTTTCATTTCTATAAATGCGCCGCTGCACAAACTTCGACTGGCTCTGGAGATTATATTAGTCGACGTCTTAACGACTTTGGCCTGACGAACGGGGTCAACTGCGTTATTTATATAATTTAAGAAAAACATCGACGCTTTATGGTATCATTTAAAGGAGTCCATTGTCGTTTGGCTGCACTGCTTTGGCTATGCGAACTTTGTAATGCTCGTTGCGCAATCGTTTATTAGCTCTGTCGAGTACGGTAAGTTAATCGAAGCGTAACGATGATTTTTAATGAAATTTTTACCCGTTCATTAAGTACCAAGAGATTCGTTGGGTATACACAGTCACGATTAATAAACAAAAAAATGGGAAAAATATTGGGGATTAACCGGGCAAGTGGGTGTAAAGTTCCGATCAAAAATATCCCGCGAACGCGTAAATAATTAATGAAGCGCGACTTATTTCATCGATCACTCAGGCCGATCGCGTCGATCAGTTGAACTCTAGCTATATGATATAGCTCCAGTGGGCTCGAGCTTCGAACGTCGCTTCGTCATGTACACGCAAGCTCGGGCCGAGCTTTGTTTGCCGCGTGGGGCCAACACACACATACACACAATTATGTTTTCTTCTGGGCGGGCTCGTGCCACTGTATAAACTTTTACTATAATATGCTCGCGAACCTCGGCACGTGGGGATGGTCGCGATGTTTTTGGCGCGTGGCCGCGTTTTATGCTACTGGGCCGCGCGTGGCACACACGATCGTCGGTCGGAATCGTATCGTCGCGATTCGAGGGAAAGGAGATCGGGTCGCGCGCGTCATTAGTAAGTATTATAGCGAATTCGATGCAATGCTCGACTCGTACGTAGCCCAACTATTGGATTTCTTGCGACGATTCAATCCTTCTTCGGGCGACGTTATGCATTTATTCGCGGACGTGGTCGCGACGAGCTCGATGCGCTTCGACAAAAATGCGCCCGAAGCGAAGCCATTGACATCGCGCAATTAATGACTTTACGAAAAAGTCACGTGTGCGCTCGCGAGCGCACTGAACCGCGCACACAAGAGACTCGTGCACTGCGCGCAGGACTTCGATGCTCGATTCGACCGAACACGAGCAATTCGATCTCTCTCTTTTTCTCTCTTTTTAAACGGACATTCGATATACACGTGAGATAATATAAATACAAAAGTTGCAACATCATCAACAGCGGAGCTCGAGCATACCTTTGACCGCGGCGGCGAATCTACGTCATAAGTGCGATCGAGCCGCCGCGATCAGTTTCTGTGTTATAATAAAGCCTCGCGCGCATACGTAGCTACGTATACTTAAACACCGGGCGCGTGATGATCCCACCACGTGATTGATATTTTTTTTCGCCAATCTCGTTGCATTTTTCTCGTTGCGTCGCGCGAGTTCGGCGCAAAGCTCGAACATGCACAGCTCGTATATGTAAGCTCGAAATTTTCCCCGAGCGACGAATAATTATGTACCTATTGGCCGATGTATAGGCGAGCTGTTGCACATTGTGCAGCGGCCACTTATACGAATGTATAGCCAGGCGTATTATAGCTGCACGTCCGACTGTCATCCCTCGTAAACGGCTTATCTATCGTTAATGACGCAAAGGAATTATGCAATCGTATACGTGTCGTACATGCATCTGGATTATTGTTGGGTGACATTCGAGAAAACACCTATGCTAGCGGCTGGCGCATATGCGCTCGAATGGAATAATAGCGCTCGAATAGTCGCAATCGTTGCGCAATCGGCGCAGATGCTGTTGGACGATAAAAGCCGAACGAAAGCTCGAGTACACGTTCGCTGCCAGACGAAATTCGCAGTCGCAAGCGTTTCGTCCAGCTTCTCCTTCTTCTTTTTCTTCTTTGCGTGTCTCTGTGCACCAAGCACGTCATATACATGTAGCGTCTTTATCGTACCGAGAGTATATACCGCGGCTCGAGTATCCCCAAAAGCTCGTCGCTCGAACGCAACACGTATTCCCAGAAGTTTGTCTGGGCGCGTTTATCTGCGGACTTCGCTCATCTCCTATGGCCGCGTATAATTTACACTTACGACAAAGAGCGCTGCACTGCTGCGTATACGCGCCGCCGCCGCCGCCTCGTGCTTTGAAAATTTAGCTCGATGCTGCCGTCGTTACGTCGACGAGCTTTACGCGTATCCATTACACAAACACTAGCGGGTTGCAGGCTTATCGCTGCGCGTCTTATATTATTGTAACGCTCGGCCACTGGATCGACATCGTTGGCGGCCACCAACTCGACTACGTACACGGCAAATTATTATATCATATCGAGGCATCGCCGGCGGTTAGTCCGTAAGACGAATCTCTTCTTCCTCGTGTGTGACTTCGCAGGAGGAAAAAAAAAGAAGAACGAAGAAGAACTTGGGTATTGTGTGTCTAAACAATGCCGCTCGCGCGCGCGCGAAGGTTGAATTCATTTAAAAAAATATATATAATAGAATAAGTGGTGTCAACTCCGATGACGCGCGGCCAGGATGACGGCGATCGCAAAGACTGTATGTCCATTCGACGACACCGAAACGACCATCTTCTTTTAAACTCATATATATTATTACTTGCGCGACGATCATCGTAGCTACACGTGTAAGTCCCGCGGACGATACTCGAGTGCAATCTGAACTTTTGAGGAGAATATTCGCACGTAGATAAGGAAAAAGAAGAGACAAAACAAAGAGGACGAGCTGCAGTGCGATCAAAATACTGCTACCCGCTTCAACAACATTTTGCTTTTGCGAAAGTTGTTTTAGCTTTAGCCGATTACGTCAAATTTATCTCAACTTTGTATACATTTTGGCCCATGAAAATCGCTAAATTTACGTTTTCATGGAATCACAGATTGAATGTATGTTTGGCGAAATTTTATCTATGTTTCGAGAAAAACATATTTCATCATAATTTCTTCCTATATTGATGTGATAAATATCACCTCTGCTGGTGTACAGTATAGTAGCTATCTATCAAATCTGAGTGACCAACTGATGAGCGTCGAACTTCAGCACATAAATTTGAGCACATAAATTTGAGGAATCGGGCAGCCTAGTAAACTGGCTCTCTAATGTCAAATTTAAATACACCTAATACGACTGGTTAAATTCTATTCATTTTTAAGTTACGACGAATTGAGGGAAATTTTTACTAATGGTGGTTTTTTTACGCGGGTAATTTTTGAAAATCCCATATGACGTCGCTTTGTGTCTTTTGCATCGGTTTTCGTTGTTGACGTAGCTAGCGCTTCTACCGTTGCTGCTCGCGAATTGATCGGCACAAATTAGCCTGTCTAATCGCACAAATGTTACTGATACGTATACACATGCTCGTACGCGATCTGCAATTGCGCAATGGGCCGATGTGATGGCACAGCTCGGAATTACATCACTCATTGGCTGCAACTGTCGATCGGATATCCACTCGTTACGAATATCGTCCGATGCGTTTGGTACTAATTACTCGCCAGTACCTCGCGTTTATTTATACACGCGGACTTTCGCGAATTTTCGAGCGATACATATGCTCGAGTTCTGCATCTCTTGTCTTAGCGACTGCAGCAAGTATTACGACCGTGATGGGCGGGAGCCTTGAGCAATTTGAATCCAGTCGTGATTATGGCCCACCGAGATCACGACGTCGTGCCCGTCGTATGTCATTGAACCGACTACGCGAGTTTGCACGACGAGGAATTTAGCCTGCCTCGAAACATTACGAATAATTGTTAAGTATCAAGCGCGCCTCGTTTCTCTGTCTCTCTCTCTCTCTCTCTCTGGCTCGGCTCGACGCTACGCCGATGCATCATGTTATACGCGGGTCACGCATGTGAATGTCGAATACATTGGCGCTGTGCACACACGATGAGCCTTCGACACAATGATTTTGAATGGCAATAATTGGCCTTGCAGCATTTCAAACTAGCGACGTTTTTTTTCGTTTTCGCGTATAATGCCACGATATAACGCCATTCGTCCCGTTCGTTATTGAGCATAAAGTTATCGCTCTGGTAAACAAGTGCTCAAGTTTTTTAACTGGTCATTGATAGGTCATATTTTAAATTTTACTTATGCTCGGCTCTGTTGAAACGAGAAAAAATTTTTCGCGCAGTTCATTATTTTTTCGACCTGTTCGTCATGCCTCCTCGACGCGTAAAAAAAAGCACCGTGATTCATTTTGGCAAAGAAGATGGACAATCGCGACTCGTTCATTCATAGAACTTTCACGATTGCGATTCGAGAAATTATGCCACTTTATACCGTAAAATATTTGCTTAAGATAATTTCTTTTGAACAACACGTTTAATATAAAGTGGAAAATATTAGCGATAAGAAAAGCAATGCTTGCATTATTTTACATGTAAAATTTCCATTGAAAAATTCATCACGTCATTATATTATATCGGTGTTTATTATTGGCGCCACTTCGGACGAGCCGAGTTTATTGATACACTTATTATTCTTTTTCTAATGTGTGCGCACATGTATGTGTATGTGCAGTACTATATAATCGACGAGGGAGAGCGAAAAATTGCGACACGCTTTTTCCGGCTATAAACGAAGTCGAGGTATCAATCGTCGATACGTTTGCTCTTCAATGTTTTTTCGCGATTTGACATGTTCATCAACAAGAACCGGTGGTCGAGTCGATAAGTGCATATAATGAT